TTACTACGTTTTATATAAACGCAATATAATAATTTTTATTTAAGATGAATCTCAATGTTTGTAGGATAAAATTTGTGAATATATTTTACGTCATCGATGAACATCTTTGTCGAGTAGATAGAAAAATATAAACGGGTACGTCGAGCATGTCGATGAAATAAACATCTGTCGAGAAGAAAGTGTTGGAAAGATCGTCACCGATATCTAACACGATCTCTCTCTCTCTCTCTCTCTCTCTTTTTTTTTCTAAGCCGGATATAATATTAATTCGGGAGAGTTTCTTTCAATTGATACCTTTCTAAATCAATCGTTGTTGCTTCCGTATTAATTTAATTCCCATAAATAATTTATTAAAACGCGTGTTAATTTTGCTTTTTGTTATTTTATTTTATTTTTTTCTATTTTTTTTTCTCTGTTCTCATATTTTTTTAAAATTGAATATTTATACGAAACGATTACGAGATACGTGAAAATAATTTCGTGCAAGTTAGGGGTGCATGTGATAGTATGTTTAATATGTTCGATAATTACTCGTCTATCATCGTAATCATTGTTTCGTAGAAGATTTCATAGCAAGTCGAGTTAGAATAATATAAGGAATACATACACACTTGCCTACTTTCATTATCAAGACAAGTCTCGCTCTCAGGATCATCAATGGTGAAGCAGCCACGGGGCTTTTGCTTGCCACGTGCTAGAATGAAATAGAGAGAGAGAGAGAGAGAGAGAGAGAGAAAAAGATAGATAAATAGATAGAGATAGAGAGAAGATCGTGCAGTCTTCATTTACTCGTACCATCGATTCATCCATTGCAATTTACGTTGCAAGGGCACGTGTTTATTTAGATTATATTTCCTTTTTTTATTTCTATGTGTATCTATGTGTGTGTGTGTGTGTATATTACTAATCGATATTTTTTTTTTTTAAATAGTTCATACAAAATTTCATCAATAATATCATTGAAATAATTTTATTCTAAAAAATTTATACGTTTTCGCGTATGTATATGTATTTTAATAATTAATATGAAAATATTCTTTATAAATTTGTGTTCAAAATTATTTTATCAAAATAATATTTAGTAAAATAATATTTCTGTGTCATTTTATGAATTAATAATTGTAAAAACGAAACGAAACATTTGTATAAAATCAGTGACGTATATATTAATATCGAATTATTGTTAGAGGGTACACACACACACATTCGATTTAAAGAAAAATTTCAAATAAATAAGTAAATAAAATATTTGATGTATCTCTCTCGAAACGACGGATGCTCGACTGACCGTTTTAAAACTTTCGAAGGGGAAAGTTATATTTTCACGCGTTTATTTTCACGCTCACGAAGTCCTTCGGGCTTACACCGTCGACGTTACACCGGTTAGTAAGTACATATTTAATTACGTTCGTTACTTTCGTTACTAGTACCTTACTCTACTTGTGTAATATCTCTTTCTCTCTCTCTCTCTCTCTCTTTCTCTATTTTCTTTTACTTTTTTTCTTTCCTTAGATATAACAGATACTTCGAATCGTTACATAAAAGAAATGAATTTGATTTAATTGAACTAAAACCGCATTCTTAAAATGCCCAACTAACGTCAGTCATTTTACCGTTCCGTCTTCTTATTATTTATTTTCTTTTTTATTTTTCTATAATATTTTCTTGTTGTTTAACTATAAAAATTCACAAAATTATACGTCAGTTACGCAAGCATAAGAAGAAAATATTTAAAACAGTTTATTAGAAATCATTAATATAACGATCATATATAAATAATATATATAATTTACTTGATAATTTTATTTCGGATTATGAGAGTTAAATGGTTAAATGTCTAACATATAAATCCTATAATGATTCGCGAGTTTTCATGCAGCAATAGTTTAGTCTAAGTTATTTATAAACTCACTTACGTAAAGTTCGAATCTTCGTCCCCATAACGTCATACTTGCATAGAAAATGCACGAACGGTCCTCTGTCTTGCGTGTAAGAAGGTCAACGTACATTAAGTAATGCTCACCTCGTATGGACAAAGGTGCATTATGATGATAGGATTGTTTGTTTGGTACCTTGCCAACATTTTCATTTTATTTTTATTCATCTTTTTTATTATTAATTATCGCCAAAGAAATCTGATTAAACCCAAAATTTTCATTTGAAAAAATCGAAATCGATTTAAATTGAATTTAATTCCAACACGAATTTCTCAACACTATCGAAAGAAGAATCGTGAGAATCCTTCGTTTCCTATGAAATTAATTATAATTAATTTATTAGCAGGCTAATTTAAGTAGCCTAATTACCTAATTTAGTTTCGTTCATTACCAGGATTTGTGTTTCATCACTTTCTCGATATTAAAAAGATTAAAATCTCAAGTGCCTGCATTATGATAACCGGATTAACGCGATTGTACGACGGGTCATCATTCGATAGGGGGCACATCGGACAAATCAATTTTTATTTATTTGTAAAAGAGCAAATCTCTTGTGCAAGTTTCGAAATTACGATTTGTATGCGAATTCGCGTTAATCTGATATCAAAAATAAAAATACAAATCTTTCAATCTCTCGTGTTTCCTTGATCCTTATATCCTCGGAAAGTAAAAGTTGGTATTATGATCCTGTATGTGTTAATAACAGGTTTAGGTATGTATACGACTATCCTGTTCCTTTCTACAATTATTTTAGATAGCATAAAAAAAAAGACACAAACGAAAAAACACAGACAAGGACTCGAAAAGTGGATAAAATAAAAATCAACGATCAATGATGATCGCGTTAATGGTTCGTTTTATTAATGATTTCTTTTTATTTCGATAATAATAATTACATTATAATAACCTAATGATAAAATTGAGAGACGTGGGCTCCCACGTGACTCGAACACGACAATACACGTGTTCATATTCCTTTCTCTTTTCTTTTTCTCTCGCATGATGGGGGGGGGCTGGCAGGGGGGAGGGGGAGGGAGCACGAGTACAGTGCGGGTTAACATTTTATTATTTTTTGTTTGTTTTGTTAAACTAATCGTCAAATATTTTTACAAACCCATTTAATTATTGACCCTGATTCATATAATTTAACGAGGTTTCGGTTTCAATGGCAAGAATTCGGTGTGATTAATTCTAATGGGGTTCTTAGAGTAAGGATTATCATTCAAGGACAATTGTGTACTACCGGAACAAGGATCCTCACGTATTTGATCTTGATGCATATCGATTTCGTAAGAGTTCGGAAAAAAAATAATATCAAAAAGAATCTTGAACAGGAATCAACTTCACCGATTGACCTCGAGATATTTCCCCTTCTCTTTCTCTTTCTCTTTCTCTTTCTCTTTCTCTTTGTCTTTCTAAAAGAACGATCGATCAACTTTAACTAACATAAGCGTGAGTATGATTGTTCCGGTAGTAACCCGTCTATAGAATATCACAATGATTATTCTAGTCCTGTCCTCGAATCCTTTCTATTTTAAGACGCAGATACCTAATTACTAAAAAGTATGAATTAGAATATCCAAAAAAAAAAAAAAACAAAAAAAAAAAAAAAAAAAACCAATGTAAAAAAAAAGATAATGCACTGTATGATATCTGTCAGTCACATAAAATCTGATGATTATTATTAGATTAGGACGAGCTAGTAATAACCGAAGCTGATATCGTGTAATGGCGGTGCTACTCCTTGCGGTAGAGCATAATCTCTGGCAAGTTGGTCGAGTATTCCGCCACTTTGACTGCGGGTTTGAGGTTGGCCGCGTTCCTGGACCGGAGCTGGGGCAAATTGTGCGGGACCTTGATTGTAAACCTGAGATTGCGGTGAGGGTTCGTCATAGGAATGTTGGAGCAATGGTGATTGACGAGAAGAAGGAATCGATGGGGAGAAAATTGGTGATTTCGGTGGTAAGGCTGGCTGTGAGGGTGCCTGTTGTGCTGGTGCATAGACAGCTTGGGTATGTGATTGGGGTTGTGATTGTGGGTGTGGTTGATATTGGGGTTGACGTGGAATAACTTGTTGAGGTTGTGGTGCTTGTTGAGGTCTCGCAGCTTGTTGATAATCGTAGTCCTGATAATTTTGTGCTTGGAGTCCATCCTTGCCCGTAGTTTCATCCACCAAAGTCGGCGGTGCCACCGTGATACCTTCGCCAGCTGGTTGAAAACCATACTGATTTGCACCGTATTCCACAACTCGTACCTTTCCAGTGTCATCGACGAATCCATATTTTCCTTTAACTTCGCCACCCGGTAATTTCGTTTCGATTTTGAATGATCCATCAGCACCTTCAAAACCATACGTGTAAGAACCGTCCTCGTTGTGTCTGTTGATTTGTTTCAGTATAGCAACTGGCGTTGGTTTTGGACTATCAGGTGCTGCTGCTTGTTGTCTTGCCGGTGCTGCATCTGATGGGTAACTTCTTGGGGTTGGATGAGCTGGTCTGGGTGCTTGGTAATCGGAATAATCATCTATCTGTTGATACCGTTGCCCTGATACAGAAAATATCAAGGCAACCACCGTTGCTACCTGGAAATATCAGATACGTGTAAAGTATTGTATGCTACATTTCGTAAGATTTAACTTATGAAATCGCATAGTTAAAAAAAAATGAAATTAAAAAACAGGCCAGTTTTATAGGTAGGTTAAAAATCAATCAACCCGAACAAGAATTCTGCTCAAATCTTAATATATATATATATATATTGAATAATTCAAACGTGATGTGTAAATTTGAAAGAAAATTCTTCAAATTTTTCTCAACAAGATTCTAATACGTACGAAACAAATGTACTCCTACACGCGTAATCTATTAATAGTATAAGTTAATAAACTCGCTAGATAACGGCATAACATACTTCCTGTAAGTTCCGCCCGAGTGAACGTACAAGTACGGTTATAATAATCTTAAACTAGTATTTCATATTCCCAACCACACTTTCGCCGTTAGATTACGTATGATAATTCTTACATATTAAACTCCTACAATTCTTTATGCAAAAAAAAAAAAAGAAAAATAAAAAACGATATAAAAACCTTCGAAGTATGTGTTATATAATTCTTAAATCGCGGAAAAAGTTGATCCAGTTAAACGAATGATTCGATTATTGCGTAACCATAAGAGGAAGAAAGTTGAAAAGCAAATAAATTGAAACGAATGTTAAAACACTTTTCAAGGACTACTCCCCCATAGCGGAAGTGTACTCATAATATTCGTTCTCGTGTTTCACGACAATTTATTTCCGTCTTCCATAATTCTAACGTTTATTAAATCATTAAAATCATTATAGAGATTACAGACACAGTGATTGAAACCAACTCAAAAATAATCCCCTTTCACTGACTCGAAAAATTAAACAAAATAAAATAAAATAAATAAACAAAATGATTGAAATATTCGAACACTTTTTGATCATTTGCACACTAGTCACTGTACATAGTATCTCACAACGCAGACAATTTCACACGCGACAATTAATTTTCTTTCTACTTTTCCTCGTTCATATTTGATTTGAGGGGTTTTTTTTAATTTTTTTTTTCGGAAGGTGGGAGTATTCTTTCCCCGAGGTCATCGATCACAAAAAAAAAAAAGTAAATGATGCACGATTGAAGGAACGTGTGATACGTACCGTCACTAAGGTATACATTGTGTCTCCTGTACTTTAGATTGTGTTAGTGTATGTGAATGTAAGTAGGCAGCGAGGCTAGAGTACCAGCGTTTGCTCGAACTGAGGCCCTCATATACCTTACTGGACCCCCCGTTCCTGCCCACTCCTCTCTACCCTTCCTCATACTCTTGTTCCCTGCTCCGGGGGACTTTCACTATCTATTCGAGTTCTGTACGCTTGCCTTGTTCTCTTACAGAACTCTTATATCCCCCTAAATGATGTCTACCTTCTTTACCCCACCCATTTTGATACGCCCCCTTCTGAACTTTCATACCTAATAATCCAAAATATTATTACAATATATTATTCATTTATTTTAATTAATGCAACACAGAGAATTTTGGAAATATCTCTATTACTAAATCGAAATCATTTATTTTAATATGCAATATACAATGATTTATCTCAATCTTATTATTATTATTGTTATTTAAATTATTTTAGATCGCGAATTATTTGTAGCTATGTAAATTACTGTATGTGTGTTTGAATTTTAGATTATTGCAGGATTGAATTTTGTATTTGATAATATTTTTGATATACGATTGAGATTTTGTGTTATTTATAAGTTCGAAAGGGGTTTAGAAATTGTATGGATAATTGAATTTTTATTGGGTAAACAAATTTATATATATATATATATATATATAATTTGTAGTCATTTAAAAAATATAGATTACTTTGTTGTTTCTTATTTAAAAGAATATTTCAGATAAGTATACTTGTTGCGATACAAATTGAAAAATGTTAAATAGATATTTGTTCTTTTTTCTGTTCCATTGAAAAAAATTTCTTGAACAAATATCTATGACGTAAATAAAAAAAAATATATCTTATATATATATATGTAAGTTTGAAAATGTATTGATTAATTTAGAACGGATTTGGAGGTTTCTCGGGTTCGAAACTCGACAAGAACGCGGACAAGAAGCTGTTGGACAACCAACGTCGAGCTTCTGCGAGATAATATTATGTAAAAGTTGGAATATATATCGGGGTCAGTCAGTAAAGAGAAATTACAGGTGTGTTGTACTTTTCGCGTTTCGTTTCAATGCTCAGATCGAAAATAATCCCTTCCCTATTCCTCTCATTTTTTAACCCCGAGTATTTTTCATTCCAATCAAATATATCGATCAATATTTTATTCGATTCAATAGTATTGGTATTTAAAATGTATATATGTAGTAAAACAGGGCCCGTTAAACTATACAAAACGATAACTATAACGATTACGAGTCAAACTAGTCCGTTTCTTTCTCTTTTAGTATAAAATGATGCAAACATTTTTTTCATATCAACTCGTATGATCAAGTTATTACAATTTCTTATCATACTTTATCAACATTAACCTAATCTCTCTCTTTCTCTCTTTTTTTTAGTATTGTGAAAAAAAAATTAGGCTTGTTTAATTGAAACGTGTTAGTTTACTGTATGGAAAATCGTAGGTGTGTTTTACTTTCACCTTAAACTGACCGATTAATTGCCATGCAAATAATTCATCTCATTCATTTTTTTTTTTTTTTTCCATTTCTTTTTATTTCTTTTTTTTTTTTTTATTCAAATATTCATTGCCTTGGGAAGGGAAATTGTTCTTAGCTTTCGGGGTTTAATGTAAATTCACAAGGTGATCGAACAGATTTGATAAAAGCTTCAATTTTCTTTTTCTTTTATCTTTAGTTTAATCTTGATTGTTTTTGATTTTGATATTTATGTAATAAGGATCGCATAACACAATGTAAGTTATGAGGGTCTGAATCAGATCGTAGAAGAACAATTTGATCGATTTTACGGTTTGCTACGATTATGGAGAAAGCGTTAGGCAGAACAATAACAAAAAATTACTTGCCATTAATTTCATGCCAATCTATAGAAATCGATTGATTTTTATATATGCATATTATATATTAATTATTTTCATTATTATTATAATTAAATGTAATATTAACGTAATGATTTCATACACGATTTTTTTTTCTCATTTTACAATTTTAATTATTATATTAAATTGAATTTATATCGTATAGTTTCTTTTTCTTTTTTGGTAACAATTTACACGAGTCAATGCATTTTTATAAATAATTAATAAAGTATTTCAATATATTTATTTACAGTTTATTCTTTAATTGAACAAATAAATTAAATTACGTGTGAGTAGATTGAAAAGTTTGTTTCGATTTAAATTTAATAAAAAAAATGTTAGTGTTAAATTGATTTGTAAAATAATTTGAAAATTTGTTCTATTAAAAATCGAATGATTTAGTACGAGTTTTGTTTGTTTGTTTGTTTGTTTGTTTCTTTCTTTCTTTCTTTCTTCGATACTCCCACTTAGAAATAACAGCTTTGTTTACGATCCCGTTCTTGCCTTTTCAACCGAGCAAATGCTTTCACGGCCGTGAGACTTTGCGAGAAGCATAAATGCGATGAGGATGAAGAAAGTTTGAGAAAGAAAAAGAATGAAATGGAAAGATAGAAGAGAAGACTAGTCAAGTTCTTTTAAAACGAATCAGCAAATTGCTGTTCAGTGACCTTCCATAAAAACATATTTTCATTTATATATAATATATTATATAATATTAACTATAAAACACACACACATACATATTTTTTCATATAGATTTCTTTTCTATATCCTTACGAGAAAATATAAAAAAAATCAACAACAAAAAGCTTTTCCCTTTTATTCGCATAAGTTTTGCTCGTAGAATTTATCCAAACTACTACTAGTTTTTCCCATTTTTGTAAAATACATTGTTGCTTTCGTAATTGTTGCATAAACATAGAAAGTTTTCGATTAGATTTATTCTTTTTAAATTAAAAAAAAAAAAAAAGAACAACGTAAATATAGGAATTAACGAAAAATAATAAAATCAAAAGTAAATGATAACCCTTTTTTTTTCTTTTTCTTTGTTTGTTTTTTTAATCGTCTATATAAGTTTAGAAATTATTTTCAACCGTGTGTTATTTTACTTTTCTAATTTCTTTAAAAGTGCATTGTTGCTTTCATAATAACAATTGCATAAAAATAGAAAGTACATCATAGAAGTGCATTTTTCTCGCTCTAATTGTCAATTATCGTAAAAGGAAACAAATTATTATAAAAATGAACTGATTGATAAAAGAAATAATTAAAAAAAAGAAAAAGATATAGCAAAGAAAAATCCCTTTTTTTTTTTTTTTTTTTTTTCGCATTCGCACGAGCATCCAAAGTTATCAATTCCAACTGAGTTTTTTATCCTATTAGTATATATAAGTACGTTTGTTACTTTCATGATTATTGCATAAAAATAGAAAGTAAGCGTAACGTCGCGTCATTGGCCGGAAAAAACATGCTACCATCTTCATATCGTCATCCTCGACACTAACTTCTTAGAAAATGAACATCTTGCGAACGTGAATTGGATGAAATACAATATATGCAACCCACACTGATTAACGGCTTTTTTTTACTTAAAAAAACAAACAAACAAACGCTGCAATTACTTTGATAATTTATAATACTTTAGATTCTTTCTCTGGTTTTCTCATTTTTATTATTATTATTATTATTATTATTAAGTTATGTATAATAAGGAATTTCATAGAACTGACATTGTACGGTCTCGTTTCTACAATACTTCAATCGAAAAAAAAAATACAATGCAAGTATTAAAATAATTGTTACTTTTTCTAATTGATAATTTTTATTAATATCTCATATTGTCATAATTAAATGACAATTATTTTATTATTATCCTATTAATTAAAAATATATTTAGAAATAATTGGAATGGTTTGACATCGTATTATGGTCTACTAACATTTTGAGAACAAACACTGCAACTATTAAAATAATTTATTATCAATATTTCTTATTTCTAATTCATATTTTTTAATATTTATTAATATCACTTATTTAATGACAATTATTTTAATATATTATTATATAGTTAATTCGTTAATTAATTTAAATCGAAAAGAAAGCACGTAAAATCAAACTTAATGATTCGATTTAAAAGAAAAGATTAGTTTAATCTTACAAAAAAAAGAGAAACAGAGAAAGAGAGAGAGAGAGAGAGAGAGAGAACAAAATAAAAAATGCATTTTCTTTCTCAAATTTTTGTATCTTTCTTTTTTACTTTCTTTAAATAAAAAGAGATAGAATATTACGCGTATTATGGCAATATAAAATAGAGAAGCCATTCTTAGTTGACTTTATAGAGTCCTGTTTGAATCTAAGGTGTTGTTGGTTGTGGTATACCACGCCTTACATCAGAATGTCTCTCGAGAGTGAACGCGAAATCGAGAAATTGCGTGCGGTCATGGCAAAACTCGGATAAAAAAAATTCCTCGTCGATTTCGTGACACGTGCCTTTTTCCTCTCTCCCTCCTCCCCTCCTCCTCCTCCTCCTCCTGTTCCTCCTCGTCATCATCATCATCATCATCATCATCGTCATCATCATTCTCCTTTCTTTTCTTCGTTCCTTTCTCATTAACGTATAATTATTATTGTGTAATATATGAATAATTAAAAATGAAATAAGAAACGGGGACAGTAGAAAAGTGTGTGACATTAAAAAATTTCTTTCAACATTTCATTATAATTTGATTTGTTTTGTTTAACCGAGACAAGATAAATTTATAAAAATAAATGATTTTTATCCAACTATTCTTTTGTACGTAAATAAAATTAAGTAAACGCACATTTGTCAATAAATTAAATACTCGAAATGATTGGGTGAATTTTATAATACTAATCAAATAATTGGATTAAGGTTTTTTTAAAATATTGTTCGATATTTTTTAATAATATAATCATAATAATTATTCACACATGCATAAAACAAGACCCAGTACTATCAACATTTGATGGGGAATTAATTTCATGAAAGGTGTGTGTATTTTATAATACTAATCAAATAATTAAACAAAATTTACTTAAAGTTTTTTTAAAATATCATTCGATACTTTATTTTCCAATAATATAATCATAATAATTATTCACACATGCATAGAACAGGACTCAGTAAGATCAACATTTGATGGGGAATTAATTT